GATAATGTCGATCTTAGAGCCAAGTCCACCTCTTGAGGATTCTTTGGTATCTGTGAATGCCTGGAGTGCAACATTAGTTAAACCAATACCCGTGCCAGCATCGTAAGATGTCTTTATTAGGCTTTCGTAGTTGTGTACTGCAAAATTAAGGGGAATAGGTTCTATATACTGTGGAAGAAGGTCTCTCGCTTTCTGACTTATCCTTTCCTTTAAAGCCTTATGAGACGATTCTTCTACTAGAGTGTAATCGCTATAAGCGTCTTTAATGGTCTTAGTTATCTCTTCTGTAGCGCTTCTTCTATTCTTGCCTGTATGAAGCTCTTTTGAGTGCGTGTTGTTGTCTTGAAAGAATACCTTGTCTTTAATCTGTGTTAGATTGAAGCGATAGCCTTCGCGCGTTTTCTGAAAAGCACTCTGCTAGTTGGAACTCTTAAGATATAAACTGCCGGATTGAGCTAAGTACTTGGTCTATATTTGGATCCCTTGATGGAGAGTCTTAATCCTCGCTAGTTTTAAAAGAGCTTCGGTATCTCTAGTTGGGTAACGTAATGGCCTATTTGGAAATATTATAGTGACACCTCTTGGTTTAATGCGGTCGAAGACGAACTTTAATATAGTTAAGAGATCGAATTGTAATTTCTAGTAATTAGGAAGATCTTCATGTAAAAAAACTTGAAAGGATCTTTCTACTACTTCAGCCTGAAATTCTCTATTATTTACTAATTTCCATATGGATTCCTTGGTCTTCTTATGACCTGTCACTGGGAGCTGAATGCGGAGTGGTATATGACTAGTAGGTTCATCTTTTTTGGAAAGCGGTTTAGAGCTAGCGTGTCCTATCTTTAGAAGAAAGACTAAAAGAAGGGTGATTGATTGTAAGAAGCGTGCTACTGTGATCTTGAGAAGTCTTTTGCTAGAATATGATATAGATGAAGTATCCATTACCTGCCCCTTTAAAGTCACTTATGCTACTGAATTTTAAATGCGGCCTTTGAACTTGCGCTAAGTGCTACGTGCATGACTGAACGCATGGTATAAAATAGGAGACATTGCCTGACATTAGAAATAATACAACCTGAAAATTTTCTTTTGGACACTTTAGACTCTTAGCATGTAAGCTAAATCTGCCTGGGCTTTTGTGCTAATCTTGATGGTTCGTTCATATGTCTTTGTGGGCGAGCCTGCACCCTTTTACTGGGATCTATAGGTGGCAAAGCTGATTATGCTATTGAATGGTGATCTAAACTACCATGGCCCTGGCTGGGGTTAGCAGCCTTTTCCTTGCAAGGGCTATTATAGAGATGTGACTCATCATAAAGCTCACATAACTTGGTATACTGGAAGTATGGTAACGTTTTAGTATATTAGCTTATACTCGAATAAATCGAGTAATTGGCTTATAGTATGGCCGTAGGATTTATGACTCCACGAACACGACCGGTGCTAGTATGCACGATCTAGGCGCAGCTTATTCAGGAGGCTCCTGCTAGGCATCGTTTTCCTACGATAATGGGGAAACCTGGATTGTTGTGTAAAGTTGGGAAGGAAACTGCGTGCGTGTACGTAAGGGTCAAGAAGGGAAACTGACAAATTCCTATGATACTGATTAAAGCTACTCTTTTGATATTCCTGCTTCTCTTCTAGGGGCAGATACGGTAATCTTCGCATGGTAAGTTGGAATTTTGCTTTATAGTGCGCTACTGACTTACTAGGACCTGGTTGAATGTATCTGGTAATCGAGAGTTTTATATGTTATGCTCGCCTGTTCGGTTGATATTAGCACGATCCCTGACGAAAGTTCTATCTGGGTATCCTATGTATATTGCTAACCTTTAGGAAAATTTAGAAACACTAGATTTACAGTATACAGCCTGGTCTTGATGTTATATTCCGCAAAATGTGTGGATTCGCTACCCTCAATGGTATAAAGGCATTAATCTACTAATAGTAGCCAATCCACTTCTAGATAATAGCCAAATCCGCTATGTAGAGCTTGGAGACGATGGTGGATTATGTGGCTTAGACAATCAAGAAAGGGTCAGAGCTCTCGCACTTCAATCTAGTTGAAGAATGTTTAAGACTCCGCTATTTGAGCATGTATAAACTAGCTTTAAGCAGGAGGAATGAATTGTCTGTTTAGATGAAGAATTTATCTCTATTGTTGATCTTTTATAACAGCATGCAGGTGACCGCGCTGGTCTCTTCGCTACATGTGATAATCGCTACACCGTCGAGTGAAGTGTTGGAATAGGTTTCGCTTGCCATGTTGTATCGCTAATGCCCATCCCTGCGTAGCGGGACACCCTGCGTGACGGGACGCTACAGACGCTCCCCAACACAGCATACCCAACAATGATCTATAAGAGCAAATTTTCTCAGAATATTAGCCTTAAGCTACATAGTCTATTCTCTCCTAGTATCTTTTAGAGATAAGTTCTACTTACCGTATAATACAACAATTTAGTACGAGCGTCACGCGACCACCTCGCTTTGGCTAGCAGTAGGTGCTTCGAAAGCTTATGCATCTTGAGGAAAGTCCATTAACATATAGCCTATTTTATTGTTATTCTGTCCCAAGTACTACACTCGAGCTTGAGAGGATGTCGTGCTTCTGTGCTAATTTTTAGTCCGCCTGCTAGACGTGCTAGATGAAGAGGCCCCGCACACCTAGCTTAAAGTAGCCTAGCTGCAATCTATCGCTGCCGACGCTAGAACTATGGCTGTGCGGCTGTGTGGCGCTTTTGCCAAGCGGGCCAGGACACCCGAAAATCAGCTTAGATGGGGAGCAGTGCTAGGTTTAAAGTCCCTCCAGCGTCTGGCTTGCGGCAACATACACACCCAGCGTGGCAGACGTTGCAAGATTATTGGTTGTATGTGTATTTGGCTAGATAAAGCTTTGCCACTTTCACTATCATTCGCTACGTCATCCTTTCGTAAGAACTCGTAATAAGAAGCTGTGAGCGCTGCACTCTCCAGTCTGCTAGCTATAACTATAGACTGCATAATATCATCGTCACAGCCCCATCTCTCACGTACCAACTTCCATTTGCGCCTTGGTACCTTCTTCTATTGAAAGATTACGCGAGCTCCACCCCGCCGACTCAAGCCACCTCTAAAGGTGCTTGTCATCAATGGAGAGCAGCAGCAGCCTTGGCGCCAAAGTAGCCATCCCTCGGCTCAAGCGGCCTGACCGGCAGACTGTTCTTCCGAGGCCTCCCCGTGTTCGCTCCGAGAAAGTGGATAAGGCAGTAAGTACCGTACTTGCACGGATCAGCATCACGACGCTGATCAAACGTGTAGTGCAACAGATGCAGGAAGCGCAGTAGGAATAATATCGAATCCCGTCCTTGTGATCGCGCCTACTAGTTGCTTCGCGTGGACATATTGTGCGAGCTAACATGTGCAGAAATGAGATGCTCTGGCACCAGACCGCGCTGCATCAATTGCACGAAGTATGACGAGGATTGCATCTATTATCTGTCACGCCGGGACCGGCTAAGAGAGTGAGTTGATTTGAGTATCTCTTAAGTGCGCTTCTGATTTGAACAGGGCCACTTACAAGAGTGAAGTTCTCTCCACACTGCTCGAGGATATCCGTGGCGTCCTCGACGACGAGCATAAAAAGAGAATTGATGATGTACTTAAAGAGTTTGACAACGACAAGCCTCCACCATCGCCATCCGTACACACTAAGTCATGCAATACACAGTCGATGACGTCATCGTCTACTAAAATGGATTGCGACAGGCAGGCGTTTG